GTAATGCACACCCCCCTTCAGAGTCAACCAATCAAATTTTGTGAAAACAAACGACCTGAGAGCGTGATTCGCAACGCTGCGATCGCTATCGCGTCCTGTGTGTCGGGTTTCACCCTGGCTGCGATGACAGCCGTTAATCGCTGTAGTTTGTCGCTCCCCGTGTGTCGAGCCCTTCAGATGTCGCATCGCAAGCTCACATGTGCACGTGTACGAGCGCAAAATTTCACACGCACGATTTTTGCCGGTCGCTTGGCTGGAGGAGGGCGAGCGATTGTTGCTTCATCGCACAAGTTCCACAGGAAATGAATGAGAGAGGGACGTCGCCTCCCSTGTGTCGAGTCYATTAGYGTTAGCAGAAGTTAGCATCAGATAGGATGATGTTATCATCCTGCGACAAACATCAACAATGGCTGCTGCTAGCCACCGCTAGCTGCTGGAGATATTTAAAATCTATGCTTACATAGATAAACAAAAAACATAAATGTAAAAACAATGAGCTAAATAATATTATATTAGTAACAATTTAAACATTTCATTTTACACTTGGCGCCCCATACTTATTAAAAACAGAATCAGATTTTCTGGGTTTTCATTCCCTGCAGTCGTGACCTCCTCGATGTCATAACAGCAAAGCAGTCAGGTAGCAGGTCGGAGCAGCTGTCGTCTCTGCATGAAGAATAATTACACACTGGAACCAGTCATCCTGCGGGGATCTTCTGAAAGAATACACAGCAAGTTAATCCTCACCAGGTCATCCAATACATAAAGGTGTGGCTGTCGGAGCACTTYATCCCGACATGAGGGTGGAAACACAGCAGGGATCCACTTCAAAGCCAGAAGACAGCAGGACTCGCACGGCTGCAGTTATAATGGGATCTCTGTGCAACCAGAACAAGTTGTTTAAATCCACCCAGTCTTTGTTTTTAAAGACTGGTTTGCTTTTAGCTTCTGAACGTCTCACAGTTCDGCCAGAAACGTGCATTTAATTTTTTTAAAAGGAGAAAAACTTATATTTTTCAACCATAATAAATTATGGAGGACTGAAATGGTCATAATTAGAAATAAAAGCAGAAATGTATAAATGGTCCAATAAATAAATTAATTATTTAATCAATTAATAAACTTAAAATAGACCAATTCAATTAAAAAATAAGAACTTTAACTCGTTTTATAACTTATTTGACCATATATATTTTTCCAGCTTAGTTCCAATAAACGATGTTTCAGCACATAATTTCCATTTTACCGTTTGAAATGTATTTTTTATTTTTCCTTTTACTTGTACATGCATTATTATTTAGCATTATTATTTTATGTTTTTCCACACAAGTCTTTTTATTCCCWTGTGTTTCTTTTTCTCTGTCTTCTTACCATTTCTGCCTCATTATGCCAATGAGGTGGGCGGAGCATCTTGGGTCAGCTCCTCTCCTATTGGTCAACAGACAGGAAGGAGCAGGATCCAGGTGCAGATCTACTGTTCATGCTTGTGCTGCCTCAGTTCAGCCTCTATCGGAAAAACCTCAGGACATTYCAGCTATGACTTTTGGTATTTCAGTTCTTTATACTTTAGCTATTTTACTTTTTTTGGCCACATTTTCCCCGCTGAAAAYGACTGGAGCTGTTTTCAACATCATTAAAATCCTTCAAAATGTTGGATTTGAATAGTTAATTTTTGAACAACTGTAACAAAAGCAAGATTTTGTGATCTTGGATCATAAAAAAGGGGTTTTCAACAATGATTATGATTTTACCAGCTGCTTCTATAACATTMATCTCAGCCATATGCAGAAGTAATCAAACATGCATCAGTGGATGTGGGCGTAAACGTCTCCTTTGTTGGTTTGCACACAAGAACACATCCACACACACTCGTGACCTTCCACWTCTCCGCAGCCTTTTAAGCTGAAATAATGGTGGTGTTTTACAGAGTATGTGGGCCACACAATAAGAGAAGGTCCAGCAGACTGAAAGGAAAGCAGCGGGACGAGCAAAAACATCTATTTTTCCCTCGAGGTTACATAAAAGCAGACGAAAAGCCATCTTTGACTCCCACTCAGGAGCAGATTACTACACACAATGTCTCTCTGATAAGACTCGGACAGAAAAACAAACTTGTCAAAAGCCTGAAAAATGTTCAGAATGTTTGAACAAACGAGGCTCGGTCCTCATTAGACGACGGTTTGTTGATGCACGAAATTAAAAGCTGAGAAAACACTGAAGTGGTTCAGATTGGATTCAAGGATCTCTCTAAAGAARTGTCTGAAAAGAGAGAAACTAGATTCATAATTAACCTTGGCTTTAATTCAACAGCTTCATGAACATCTTAGAAGAAACAGCACTTAAAACTTGAATTATTCTGCAGCATTTATCATATATTTTTATTTTTCTTTAACCGAAACATCAGTTACACTGTCAGGCCTGCATGTATCGAAACAAAACTGCCCATGAAGTGTTCCAGGTTCAGATTCATGTTACTGAAAATCTGTCCTGATGCATCTCAGTAATCCAGGTAAAAAAATCAAAAAAGAAAAAAAATTGTATAGGTCC